ATAAGGGTCAGGGTGAAATGTGAGGAGGACCCCCATGCTGTTTTTTTTTTTTTAATAAAAGGTGTACGATCACTTTCTTAAACATTAGCCAACTTGATATATTTTTTGCACTATTGCTATGCATCTCTAGAGGGGTCCAGGAACAATGTAAAATCTCACTGCAATGGAGACTGCTGCAATTTAGAACGGCCCGCTTTGACCGCAGATAGAAACTGGCCAGCAGGTCGGCAAGGATGGCCCTGTTCTCACTGATGTAAAATAATTTTCCTGCACCTGGCCAATCTCTCAAACCCTCATGAAGAATTAAAAGGCTGCAGCCCACACAGCAGTTTAATATTGCCCAGCAGCAGGACCATTTTAATTAACAAGAAATTTTCCTGCGTGGAATTGTAGGAAGGCGGGCGTTTAATTACAAGAATTAGGAGACTGCAGCCAACACAACAGTGTAAGGCCCAATTCACGCTGAGCGATGTGTTTGTCGCGCGATTTGCATTTTGCGAGTTTGTCCTGCAAATGGTTGCATTGAGCAACCTAGAATCGCGGCAAAATCCGCTCCAAAAAGGGTCCTGCTGTAGCGACGCACGACCCGCGACAGCGACGGACAGAACCCCATTGACATGCATTGGAGAGCGATATCGCGCAATAAATATCCGCGATATCGTGCAGATTACCGCGCGATAAATCGCTCAGTGTGAATGGGCCCTAAAAGTGGACAGCAACGTCACTAGAGAGACTAGACCCAAAATGACTAGGGACAAAGGGTGGAAAAATTAAAAATTTTTGGGAGTGTGAGAGATTGTGTGTGTGGTTGTGCGCGTCTTGATTGTTTTTGAGGATCCATTCACCCTAGGACAGTGTGTTAAATCACACAGTCCCATGTGATTATTGCACTGTACAACGCAAACACACCTGGTGCAGAAGGCAAGTTGCCTTTCCATTGATTTGAATGGCATCCCAAACCCAAAAAGCACCTCCCATCCACAGTTCAATCACACGCACCGGAACGCATGGCATGCATTACAGCGCGGTGTGACTTGGGTCGCGGCTTAATGACCAAGGATAAATGAGGGTCTTGCGGTAACACGGGTTGAGAACCACTGGCTTATAACAACCAATTAGCGCCGATCATTTTTTTCTACACAGCTTAGAAAATGAAAATTTTAAAAGTGAATAGATTGTGCTCCAGTGTAGACAACGTTTGTCTCAGACACTTTTTATTAATTCCCCCCAAAGAGTACAAATTAGGTCTTAAAAAAAAAAAAAAAGATATTACAAAGACTACACCAGTGTAAAACTGACCAACAGGACTGTTTTACTCAGGGAGTATAGGCCTAACCAGTGCATGCCTGAGTTAGGGGATAATGTGGTGCCGTGAAAATGGCGAACGTTTGAGGCGTCAATCATGATACACAACACCTGCCGAAATAAAAAAAGTCCTGCCGCACGACGACATCCAAACCGACGAAAACTCGACGCAAAATGACATCTCCTATCAAATACCACATAGCATGCGGGAGCTCCCGAATGCCAATCGGGTCTGTGAGCCGAGGTGTCATATGAATAGTATTGGGGAGTTCCCGAATGCCATGTGTTATTTGACAGCCGAGAATGTGAAATGGGCGGAGCGAGCCCCGTAACGTCACGGCTCACTCTTCCTATCTGTTTACCATCGGGCATGGTGATTGACGCTGGAGCCATTTTTTAATTAAAGGAATAGTCAAAAATTTACTTTTTTTTTCATTTAAAAAAAGGACTTTCTTTAAAAGTGTTGTTTGTTTATTAATTTTGAATTTTAACCCTTTAGTTAATGGGTACCCCTCGCTCATTCACATGGGGTGCCTCTGGGTGCCCCCTTAAAAAGGTACCCCGATGCAAATAAGCCCCCTTGTCTGCAGACCCCCATAACCACCAAGTCAGGGTTGTGGGGCAGAGGCCCTTGTCCCCATCGGCATCGGCCACCCTCCCAATGCCGAGGGCACATGGTCTGGTATGGTGCAGGGAGGGGGTGAAATCGCTCGATCGTCCCCCCCCCCCCTTTCTTGCCCTGCCGGGCCTGTGCTCGGATCAAGGGTCTGGTAGGAATGTTAGGGGGGACCCCAATTCTCTCCCCCCCCCCCAACAGGGGGCTTAGAATTCCTACCTTCCTACCACACCTAAAGGGCCTGGTGTGTTTTTGTGGAGGGAACCCAACGCACTTTTTTTTGTTTTAACTTGGGTTGGGGGGTCCCTCACTAACATTCCTACTAGACCTATCGGGGCTGGTATGAATTTGGGGGGAACCTCACGCTTTTTTTCCCCTCTTCTACAGACTAAAAAAAAATAAAAATAAAATTCTTCCTCTAATGCAGTGGTTCTCAACCTGTGGGTCGCAACACACAGTTAAGGGGGTCCCCACCTGCCCTGTGCTACTCTAGGTAAGAGGCTCCTCAGCCTCACCCTAGCGCAGCAGTGTCAGTTCTCCTAGATGGCGCTGCAGCAGCAGCGACCCGAGAGGATTAGAGAGAGGGGAGCAGGCAGGAATGAGGGGAGGCGAGTGCTTGATCACCAGAAAGGTTGAGAACCACTGCTCTAATGTCACTTTGCTGCAACGAAATTGCTTCCAAATGAAATTTCGTACACACTACCGCAAACAAATTTTTGGAATCGGAAATTCGGATTCTTTTGCATTTGTCATCTCTTTAATTCGGATACATCAAATCTCAGAAATTTTGGCTCGGAACGAAATCGCACAGGTCTAGTGTTTAATACCATTTTAAGTGCAATGCTACCCTATTAGATCAGCAGCTTCTGCTTTTACAAATATAATAGGCCCACGAGAACTTTTATGGAAGATACTAACAATTATATAACAAACAAACTACATAGAAATCCCAGTTTTTCAAGTAATAAAATAAAACTCCCAACATTAAACTGCTTAGTGCAGCCATGCCTAGTAATGGACAAAAGCAAACTGCACAAGAAAGGTTCTTGCCTGGAAACCAACATGTGTTTATTTAACTATGTAAATATTATTATTAAACAAGTGCATTGTGTACAACAAAAAAAATGTTTTTTTTAATCTTAGATTCTTCTTTATGGGAACCTAAAAAAGAAAGAAACAATTAGTAACCAAGAAAGAACATTAATTCTGAAGGGTCTGTTCATCATTTTTAATAAAAAACAAACACGTGTTTTTATGTATAGATGCATGCCTATATGAACATAGGGACAACCATACTTTTACTGTACATATACAGGCCCAGCTTCCTGCTTTGCACCGTTACACAATACTTACGGCTTTACTGCTTCTGAAGCTGGCGATACACCTTACATCCGTCGCACCACTTTCGTTGTGCGATGGTTGTAAGGTCATTAAAATTATGACCTGTCCATCTTGGACAGGCAGATCGTACTTGCAATCATTGCAAGCCCTCCCCGCTGAGGGGAGGGTTTGCCGATGATTGCAATGCTGAGCGGGCAGTGTGTGCTTGCGCACACTGGCACGTGCGGCATTAGTCTTCCGAGCACGCTAGGAAGACTAAAGTCGTGCGACCGTACAGTAGATGCGGTCGCAGGCTGCCCATATACCTGCCGATTATCGCACGATCACCCACGATTATTGTACGATAATCAGCAGGTGTATGGGCACCTTTACAATACATTTCTACAAGTTGGCTCGGTCACAGAACACATGGACACTCACTATGTAGTCCAGATCTTTTCTTTATAACTGAGTGATTGCAAATTGAGCGTTGGCTCCCTCTAGTGGATACTTTACAAATTACTAAAAAAGAACTTCAGGCAATTGAAAAACCCTTGCAGTAGGGCTAGCCCATGCACTGCAAGGGTTAATTGCTCATTTTGGTCTAGGGCAGGGGTGGGCAAAGTCTGGCCCTACAGCTGTGGTGAAACTACAAATTCCATGAGGCATCTGTCTCTGCTGGATTTTCACAGCCACGACTCCCTATGCCTCGTGAGATTTGTAGTTCACAACAGCTGGGCCACCACCACCAAACAGTCTACTACTACCGGAGAAGTTTCCCATATATTCTTGTTCCTTCAGTAAATGGGTAATTTCTGTTCACCATCTGACCACCACATTTTAACAACCGATGTTAGTTCTTGTACTTGTGTCCAAATGTTTAATGGCTTTTATTCCGGTCTGTTACGTCAAAGGGTAGCCACACCAACAAACACAGACAAGGGGCTAGATCAGGCTGGTTGAATACTTTGCAAGATGTTATTTATCTTGTATGATACTTGTATAAAGTCTGAGGCCCCTTTCACACGGGCTGATCAGGACAGGTTCCGTGCACACCTCCTCTCCTGATCACAGCAGTACGGAATAGACGTCACCACTGTGTCATCTGTGTCTGTACAGTTTTTTCCTCCATCTTGTGATGGGAGGATAAAACTGAAACTGCCGGCGTTCTGTCGAAATCTCCGACTGGTGACATCACATCCGGTAACTCAAAAACAGACAATGTATACCTCAAAACAGACAATATGTAACTTATCTAATAAAATTGTAATAAACTGTGAATATATGTAACAAGTGTAGGTGATTCTTGTTAATAAATAGTGAATGGACAAACAATGTGTACCAATTGAATAGAATGAAATAAAAATAAAACTTTTTTCAATGTATGTGTGAGTAGTCCAAATCTTTTGTAGTTTTTTTAAAAATTTAAAAAGTCTTTAAAAATCCATAAATGTAAGACACTTAAAAAGTGAAAATTCGGTGCAATAATGTGCTGCATTTTTTCCACATTTTTTCTACACTTTGCTTTTTATTTTTGTCTTCAATTTTTTTCTTCATCTTTTTCATTTGTTTCGTTTTTTTGGAGTTTCGTTGGACACATTATTGCACCGAATATTCACTATTTATTAACAAGAATCACCTACACTTGTTACATATATTCACAGTTTATTACAATTTTATTAGATAAGCTACATATTGTCTGTTTTGAGGTATACATTGTCTGTTTTTGATGTATTATCACACAACTGATTCACATTGAATATTTTGAGACACACCCCTTCACTGAATGTTTTATTAATTATTAATTATTAACTAGTATTTGTTAAAACCTGACCTGAACGTCAGAGTTCTTATATGCACCTCTGAAGGACGGTTAGCGCTGTACGTTTTAAAATACCACATCCTAATAGGGGCTGAGTGCCTTTTTGTTCAGCGGCTTCCCCTATCCTTTTTAGACCAATCTATTTATATATATTTATGTTTATCCAGTTTTATCCAATCTAAACTTTTATCCATATTTTATTATTCTTAGTATTTCCATTAGCGCAAGTTCTTTGCAATTATTACATCCGGTAACTCGCCAGTAATAGACCAGATGGTGCTAGTGTGCATGCGCCAGCGGTGCCAGTGTGAGTATCCTCATCGAGTTATCGTGCTCTCGTCATTGCGCCTGCGCGGCTTCACAATCCCCATCAAGTTCTCCAACCCCCGTCAGTGCGCCTGTGCGGTCACCCAAAAGCGCGCCCACCTGATGGCAAAACATGTAATCTCTTGACCGTGACCGTGCAGACGCACTGGTGGAGGTTGGAGAACTTGATTTGGATTGTGAAGCCTATATAATAATGACTGATGGATCATTTATTACTAAATTATTATTACTAGTAGGCACACAATATGGATTTACAAAACCTCATGCATGGAATGCTTTCTGCCCAGGGTTGCCATGTCTGATCATTATTGCTGTGGTTTTTTTTTTCTCTGGCTCTTAGAGCGACGCACCAATATTCTATGCCCTAGACCAAAGCAAGCAGTTAACCCTTGCAGGTGTGGGGGTAGCCCCACTGCAAGGGTTAATTCTTAGATAGCCTGGAGTTATTTTTTAATGTAATAAAAATATGGAAGATCAAATGTGAACGTCACTTGAAAAATAGGTAGGTTTTGCAATAGCCTGAAACTACTCATGCTGTAGTCATGCTATACTTTCCCTTTAGTATAGGTGTAGCTCTTACGATCCAGTTCAGGAAACATAGCTTGCTGTGCATGAGAATTGGCTCCAACACCCCCTATAAGGCTGGGTTCACACCTGGGTGTTTTTCAGCGCTGATCGAAGCGCTGAAAAACGCTCAAGAAGTGAAATCCTATTAATTGCTATGGGCATGGTTCCCACCTGGGCGCATATTAAGAACGCCCAGGTGTGAACCCAGCCTAACCCAGTGTAAAGGTGGCCATACACTTTACAACCATCGCAAGACCTTAGTCTTGCAATGGTTGTAAAGTAATTTAAAAAACGTACGATCTGCCCATCTTGGACAGGCAGATCGTACTCTCGATCATCGCAAGCCCGCCCCTCGGGTTTCCGATGACCGCAATGCTGAACCGTTCGGCATTTGTCTCCCGAGCACCATTCAAACCAGCCGAAAATTGTACGATTTTCGGCTGGTTTTCTAGCGTGCTCCTTAGACAAAAGACGTGCGACCGTACAGTAGAAATGGTTGCACGTCTTCGTTAACACTGCTCTGATCTCGTACGATCGCGGGATTTCCTGCATTCTCGTACGAGAATCGAGCAGTGTATGGGCACCTTTAGTCAGATTAGATCAACCAGCAGAGGGCTGTACTGTGTCTGGAGAGCGTGCATGTGAGGAGTGATCAGGTAGAGATGAATACTGGCTCTGTACTGATCAGTGGATAGATCTTTTGATATCCACTCCTGATCTGTAGTTTGTGTTAAAGTACAGAGGCTATATATATATATATATAATGTATATGTGTGTATTTAAAACACACACACATTTGATTTCATTATTTTTCTCTTTTTGGTTCTCTATTTTTACCGATGTCAAAAGGCTAGCCAATGCTGTCACAACTCACCAGCAGTAGACTTAATGGCCACCCTGAAATGCCTGGTAACGAGGGATCAAAAAAATATTGTTATTATATTAACATAAAAACATCTGCAACTGTCGCAATAGTTTGGTGGCAATGCAGAACTATAATAAAGTGCAACTCTAGATTTCAGTTTTCCATGATAAATGCATAACAGCTTTCAGCAATGTAATGGTTTTATTGATCTTCTCATTTGTCCTCATCGGTCTTCATTCTCTTTTGCCTAGAAAGTTATCCTCAATTTTAGTTGGACATCTGATGTTGCTTTTTAAATAAAGAGCAGAAAACATTTTACAAAGCTATGCAAGTTTTTGTTGTTTTTTTTTCTCTACACAACAATAAGTCTTCAATACATGTACATTTCCACAAGTTTTATGCCTTTAAAAGCGCTGGAAGTAAAGAAAAATATCGATTGATCTGCCATAAATGCCAACTTCCTGTAAGGGCTGGCAACACCAACCAGCTGTGTCTCAACTGCAAGCTGGACTACATAACTCATACGATCACCACCTCTGTCCTACTACAGATGTGTGCTGCTGCCTTGTTTCCCACAAGCCTTCCTAGACACCGTGTAGGAAAAAGGCTCGTGGGAGACGTAGTTCTGGGAAAGTGCCCACATCAATTGGAAATGACCTCCCATTTTGGAAGCCTAGTGACATCACAGTACACAATAAATGCCTTTTTTTCACTTCAGGAACAGTGTAAAGAAAAAAAAAATGCGGGGACATGGTCAAGAGGGGTTTGGATAATGCCTGGACATTTTAACAGCCACTGGGAGAATAGTTAAAAATGCAAAACTAATTTTTGCCCCTATATGCCAAAGAATGCACCAAAACCGACCTTTAAATGTTACAGCTGTGGTGGTTACAGCACAAGCTCTGTCCGGCTCATGAATGAACAAAGCTCGTCCTTACCACACCTCCATAAATAAATACAGCCAAGAAAGGTGCAATTGTGTAGTAAAAGAAATGGGATATCTAAAATCTCTTCTATTTTCACACCAAGGCCACTTTAAACGATCAGCAGCTACCTATAAATACCTTATTAATGGGCCCCTACATGATATTGTAGGTTATTACAATTACCATTTTGTATCTGAAAACTACAGTTAATATTCATTAAGTGTTACCAGTAAGGCCAAACTGACCCTACAGAGTATTAGTAAATAGGTATATTGGTGCTTTATAAATCTATGCATGGCTGTTGCATCAGAGAGAAATAGTAATACTTTGAAAAACAAAACACCTTAGGCAACAGTACCCTACCTCAGTTTAATACATACCAATCTGCCACTCTTGTGAATCTGTAAGAAACCCAGATATCCAGGGAACATGCCCGCTGCTCTCCACATGCCCATTGGGTCTTCAGTCTTGACCATAAACGGTACTCCGCCTTGAAGATCTCTAAATGGCTTATTATGGTAGTCAGTAGGGCCCATAAGATCACACCTCATTGGACCTGGGCCCAGGTATCTTTCCGGGGATTCTAGATCAGGAAGGTCTTCTATTTTCTAAAAGGGATATTAGAAAATGAAGTCAAGACAACTGGTCTAATTTTTACCCGACCTTCATTGTTACACATGAATCCATACTACATGCCCTCTGGTACCATTAGAAACTAACATTAAGAAAATGAAAATTCTGTTGGTTGCCAACAGTAACACCAGGAAACTCCAATAAAGCTGCCTACTGCTTCTGGCAGCTAGGGTCGGTCTTAAGGTCTAAGTAAGCCTCTGTCAGGGTTCCACCCTAACTTTACTGGTTTGCAGCATTCTGGCTTGGCTGCCATTTTACTCACCTCTGTTTCCTTCTTTGCCTAAGCGACTCTGGAACGTTGCTCACTACTCCCAGGTTCCCTCTTATGGCCAGACAGTAGAGCATCATTTGAGTGAGTCAGATGGGAGTTTCCTGTCTCTGAGTGATGAGTCACCCCCCTCACTATATATAAACCACTCAGTCCAGTCTGACCTTGCGTGGTCTTCCTGCTAGTGCATTCCTGCTGCTCTGAGTATCCTGATTCTGTGTATGACCCGATCCTGGCTGACGTTCTCCTCTGGCTCCTGCTCCTGGCTTGTTCCTGACGACACTGATCTCTGTGTTCCTGACCTGGCTTGGACGACTACCCACTCCGGCTCCTGACTCTGGGTTGTTCCGGTTTAGGACTCTGCTTGCTCCTGTGGACACTGTTCTTAATAAATATTTTTACTAGCACCTTTTGCTTGTCTGGTTTGAATTGTGCGCTGACAGCCTCAGGCCAGAGGCAACAGCCTGACAAACTTGCTTTATAGTACTCTACACTGGCCTGTAGTCACCTCCCAGAAACTGGTGGGGATCGTGCATAACTTACCAACACATTCAATATTTATTTAAACCAGGAGACTAAAAATTTGCACAAA